AAAAAAAACGCTATATGACTCTCATCAGGGAGACTTACATATCTCAAGACGAAGCCACTATGCGTAAGTCAGTAAGCGGGAAAATCTATTACCACAGCAATAATTTAAAACATTTCTTGGTACTTATATCAGTTGGTTTTCACAATATCTCTTACGAAGCCATATCCTTGGGTATGACAAGAACAGATATCTCTAACTTTATAACCGTCTAGGTCACAAATACGATGACTTCTAAAACTATAGAAGTTGAGCTAGGAGACCTCTGAAACCTAGTTACGGCCACCAGTGGCTGCCCTCCAGTGGCGGAGAGTCCTGGTTCCCCTGCTATGCACGCTGGCTATGGATGCATTTTTAGAAAAGCTCAAAGGCAATATATTTAATACAAATGCCTATGTAGAGAGAGGAGATTCCGCATCTACTTTTGTAAGCAGTCATGAGGAGACCACTTCGAGTTTCAGTATATGCGCCAGTGTCATTTTCTATGAAAATTATTGGAAAACTCTGCTTACATAACGAGTTCGAAGAACAAAATTTAGACAAACAGTTGCCCATCACTATCCAATCTAGTGCAACTTCTGCAGCTGAAAACTGAGCTGGAAGGAGAACATAGTCTAGAACATTGTCTAGAAGTGAGAAGGCGTCTGTGGATTTATATTCGTGCGAGAGGGTCATTGGTAAGAAGTGGGGGGTAAGAAGTTGAGGCTGAGCAATCCGGGCAANAACATTGTCTAGAAGTGAGAAGGCGTCTGTGGATTTATATTCGTGCGAGAGGGTCATTGGTAAGAAGTGGGGGTTGAGGCTGAGTATATGCCGCTGGATTTATACAGGCGTAGTTAGACCGATTATTCTCTAAGGTATTATATTTGGTATGGTAGCCTGTCTTGGATAAGTCCTATAATATTCATCTACTCAACAGAGTACAAAGGATTAGTACGATCTGCATCAAATGATGCTTTCAATATCTCTTTGAACCTTATAGATATAGATGGCATCTCGTTCTGCGCTTCTTTAAAAGAGAAAGGTCAATGGAATTCGGAATTACAGGGTCACTCCTGTATTCTGGAAAATTATAGTTTTTTTTCGGGTTACCCAGACCGTTGTGTTGAAACTCTGGTTCCGGATAGAAACTTCGCCATGAAAATCCTTAGTAAGGAGGTGTGCATAGAAAACTATTATCCTCCACCCGGTAGTATATGCAGTANATTCGGAATTACAGGGTCACTCCTGTATTCTGGAAAATTATAGTTTTTTTCGGGTTACCCAGACCGTTGTGTTGAAACTCTGGTTCCGGAAAGAAACTTCGCCATGAAAATCCTTAGTAAGGAGGTGTGCATAGAAAACTATTATCCTCCACCAGGTAGTATATGCAGTCATTTTCACAGATGGTTCAAAAATGAACGGCGGAGAGGGTATGCCCTTCGCCGCTAGCAAATTGCTTTAAACTAACTACGATCTGTCGAAGAAAAACTTGTCCTGTGTGGGATCTAAAGAGGCAGGATATATCTCACACAATTGGTACTCCAATAGACGTCTGTCTTATAGGTAAACACGCAGAACGGCTCGGAGTGCCATACCCTAAATGCCGCAAAAGTTGGAAAAACAACGAGGAGTAGGAGACCTTCTCTGTAACTATCCCGCATTATCGACCTTGACGAATTGGCAGATTTAAACTTTAGGTGCCTGACGAATTTCCTCAAGGATTCAAAATGGTTCAGCAAGCGAGGGTGAAAACTCCCTGCGTAGCAGTACCAGCCAAATCTACCTATCTGTCTACTCATTTATAAAGCGCCTTGTTGGACTACTCTCGGAATAGAAGAATATAATGAATAGAAACTCCATCGGCCATCTCAGTGTCTTAAAATCTTAAGCAAATGACTAATGTCAGTGAATTAAAGCCCAGCAAAAGTGATTCATTTTTGTAGGAAGTAGAACTATTTTATTGCCGAATATAGGTGTTATCGAATTGTTTGCAGAGGCGACCCCTAGGTTAAGCATACACATTTTTTTTTTCAAAATTGCCTTGCAAAAATACTTTGGACTCACTCAGGGGTGTATAGCGAACTTTTGTTTGTTTGCCTGTAAGATTGTACGACGTAATGCCCATCATTATCGACTCTATCATTTAGTCTCACTTATGTACCTGTGATAACCTGATCCAAATAGGTCATTTCCATCATCGCCTCGTAAGTCAACTCGCCGCTGTACTTCTCCAGCACTTTGACGATTTCAGCTCTCAATTTCTCCTGCAACTGCGGATTCTTGGCCAACTCATATAGGCCATAAGTCATATTACTCGAACTGGTCTCAAATCCAGCAGCAAAGAAGATGAATACCTGTGCAGCCATCTCTTCGTAAGTCAACATAGGTTTACCGTTTTCGTCCCTAGTATTTTTCATCTCAATCAGCAAGTTAATAAAATCGTTACGTTGAATTTTCTGCTCCTCACGCAAACGCACCGTGTCACGCACCAGCCGTATTATAAACTCTTCAACCTCTTTGGTTGTGCGCCTAAAATATTTTAATATCTTAAATATCCCCGAATAAGTGATCAAAAACAAGCGCAGGCGTATTGAAAGAAAATTTGGATAGAAAATTTGCCGTCCAATGCGCCGAAATTCTACATTAGGATCTTTCAAACTATTGCATTCTACACCAAAGGCACAAGTGCCGATAACATCGGTAGTATAGCGTCCCATCATGTCGTGCAGCTCAATAACACCGTCCTTGGCTTGCGTCAATTCCTCGCTGAAGGCCTCATCAAGCTGACGTGCCACCGCCACCAGTGTGGGAAACATAAACTTCATTTTGGCCGATGTGAATGTGGGTGAAAGTTTGATGCGCAATGGGCGCCACCTCTCACCGTGCAGAGCAAAAAGATTTGCGCTGATTGAATTGCCAAGATCGGCACTATATTGAAAACGATCGGTGAATTTATTGAAATCTTTAATAAGAATAGCCTTCACCAAATCCAAATCGAGTATTACCAATAATGGTTTGGTGAAGATGTATGTACCAACAAATTTGGCCTTGCCACGAAATTGCTGATAGGCATCGCTCACAATTTCCGATCTGCTTATGCTACGCAGGCGAGAGATGTTACCAAATAGAAAGTTCATTTTCATC